CAGAACGGGCTCATGAAGCAGGAATCAGTTTCATGAAACTCAATTTGTGAAACGGTTTTGACGACATGGCAACATTGCGGCGAGGAATGAAATGTGGCAACCATGTTTAGTCGCTATCCTTCTCTTTCAGCTTTCTTTCTCTCTTCCGTCACATTTTTACCGATACCCGTGATCACAGAAACATATGCGTGTGCCACCTGACGGTCGAAAATATTTCTAATTTGGTTTGTCTAATGTCCGTTCGCACAACTGCAGCGCGACGATCAACTCCGGGTCCCGATACCGGGACCGTGTATTAACCCGTGTACTTTTTAATACACGGATACACGCACAACGAATATATCCGTGTTTTATATTATCTGTATATATATTATATAATATATTATCTGTTTTATAAAAACAGATTATTAATTCATTAAAAATATTTCCAAATATTTCCTCATCCATGTGTGTTTACTTTTTTATTTCAGCAATCAACAGCATTTATTTTTATCATGTGTCTGTGCGAAATTAAGAAACTCTTATTGACATATTTTCTGAACGAATTAAAACGGATACATTCATTACACGTGTACCCGTGTATTAATAAGTACACAGGTTAATACATGGATATATTAACTACACATGTACACATGTTGTTGCAATACCCGTTCAAAAACGACATGCCTACGCGGAACGGTTCGACTCCGACCGAATGAGGAAGCGTACACACGGTGTGAATCGGTGCACGGCTCGAGTATCATCGGTCGGAGCCGAACCGTTCCCAGCATCGCGAGCGAAAGGGTACCATGCCAGACACAACTAGAAATATGTATTAGGGAGTGGGGAAAGATGGGCGGTTCAAATCCGGGCTGCCCCGCGGAGCACCCCCCACTTCTTGTAGCACGGTGCCTCGCTGTGTAATCCAGTGCATCTTTATGACATTTTAATAACTTTAATATTAATTATTTCAGAAAGTATAAGCCGTCTGCCCCCAAAACCGAGCGCAGCTTTACAAGCTCTATCACTGCATTAAATCTTATCAAAAAGTGAACGTCAACCCTGGAAACCTTCCCATGTTAGTTACCCGAATGTTTAGATCACGATATGATATAATTTCTTTTTCATTTTTATTAATTAACGCGGCTATACGATGTTAAAGATGCCCATCCTAAAATTCATGAAATATAAAATTGTTATTTACTGTGCTGTTATTTCCTTAATTTAATTAAATCAGTGTGTTACTATCAGTCTGTTACTAGGTATTATTAGGGTAGTTAGGATGATTTTTATAATTATTTGACTCAAGTAATTTTCGATTCTTTTAGATCGATTTTGTCAAGCGATTGTCGATTCTTTTGAATTAATTTTTATAAATTTATTGCCTTTAAAATGACGATTAATGATGATTAACATATACTTAATTTATTGGTAATTCTTCGATTTTTAATTTCAAAGTTTATATCCAGTATTTTACTATCAGATACTAATCGTCTCTCGATACTGTTCTAAATGTTATACGCCTAATATTGTGATACTTTTTTTATTGAAGAACTTGATTTTGTAAATCGGTTCTAAAGTTCCATTGGAATTAAAACATTACATTTTAGGTGCGATTTACAAAATCGAGTTCTGCGATAAAGAAATAAGCCAAATAGTATGAATATGATTTTTCAAGATTCGATTTTCTAGTGTATCGATCTTTCTCGCTGCAATTTAGAATCGTTTTTCTACGTCACCCCTTTCTCATCCCTAGTTTGAGCAGTTTTGACCTGTGTTTATTGTTTAGGCTCCTCAAAGTTCTGCGTAGCCGAAAAATAGAGCGTAAGTGATTGACACACACAGTAGAGAAGAGGGAGATGGAGATAGCAAAAGAATGAGTAAGAATGAGACAGCGAATGAGATAGAGTGCGACAATGAACTCGTACGTTCTTATTGCCGTTGTGATTGTTGTCATCGTTGCTGTTACCGTTGTCGAAGTCATTGTTGTTATTGTTGACGTAGTTGTTGTCGTCGTCGAAATCGTTGTTGTTGTTATTCGTGAGAAACTGTTGCTTTGTGTAAACTGGTTGTTATTCTTGTGAATAAACTGTTGCTGTTATTGTCATTGTTATTTAAGTTGCAGGTGTGTATGTGTATGTTGTTTATTTTACTACGGAGCCTCGTAGGATTTCCTAAAATAATCCCTGCACTCCCCTATTTTAAGTTAATTAGTTTTAGCTCAATGTTTCCTGTTAAATTAATTGTTTTTTTATTCGAGTCAAGTATTTGAAAAGAAAAATTATTTTCGGTTAATTCATTTAAACAGAGTAAAATATAAAGTTAATTTTTATAGGTTCTCTTTGTAAAATAAAAATAATGAAATGTTTAAAATAAAGCATTATTTGAAATGATTAATTGTTATCTTATTTGACGTAAAATATGCCTAAGTTATAGATCAAGGAACTTTTATGGCACCCATTTGATGGCTCACAAAAGTATTTTAATACTTTTTTTATAAGAAAATAAATTTTTTGGAAAATGGACCAAATGGGTTACATGGATTTTTAGATATTAGAAGGATACTAGATAATGTGGAAAATATTTGTGAAAAGTCACAATTAGTTGGAATATACTGAAAATTTTATCAAAAATTGTTTGATGCAAAAATAAGTTACAAACATTCAGATAGATGTTATGAAAAACTAGGGTCATCGCCATCTTTAATTTATTCTTTATCTCTCAGAACAACGTTAACCAATTTATATTCAATGAAAATTTCAGCATTCATATAACATACTGAAATTCACAAGATTTATAAAATAGGTTTTACAATACGTAAAAAACCTGAAACGCGTGATTTATTTATTTATTTTTGTAATTCCAAAATTGCAATTTTTACAAACTTTGATTTACATATCATCTAGTAAACTAATGTTTCA